GGAGAGAGAGGGAGAGAGGGAGAGAGAGAGGGGTCGGCTGCTAAGGACAGGGCTCAATCAGTAAGCTTCTCAGCAGCAGAGCATTTGCCTGGCTTGTACAAAGTTCAGTCCCCAGCGCCTGCCTCCAGATCCAAAGGCTGACAGCCATGCATAATGTCATATACATATAGTCCAAGAACTTGGGAAACTGAAGATGGAGAGTAAAAAGTCAAGCTGGGCTGCTCGGGGAGAGAGAACCAGTCTCCAAACGAAACAGAAGTGCGTGTGATAGCTCACCGTATAATCACAGTCCTCAGGGAACAGAGGCAGGGGGATAAGGAGTCCAAGTCAACCTCAGCAACATAGCGCACACATGCACACATGTCTTCGGGTTTATATGTGTGTGTCTTTGAGCATGTATGCACGGACATGTGTCTGTATGTGTGCATCTGTGTGTATGTGTGCATCCGTGTGTATGTGTGCATCTGTGTGTATGTGTGCATCCGTGTGTGTGTGCATCCCTGTGTATGTGTGCATCCGTGTGTATGTGTGCATCCGTGTGTATGTGTGCATCCGTGTGTATGTGTGCATCCGTGTGTATGTGTGCATCCGTGTGTGTGTGTGCATCCGTGTGTGTATGTGTGCATCCGTGTGTATGTGTGCATCTGTGTGTGTGTGCATCCGTGTGTGTATGTGTGCATCCGTGTGTGTATGTGTGCATCCGTGTGTATGTGTGCATCCGTGTGTATGTGTGCATCCGTGTGTGTATGTGTGCATCCGTGTGTATGTGTGCATCCGTGTGTATGTGTGCATCCGTGTGTATGTGTGCATCCGTGTGTGTATGTGTGCATCTGTGTGTATGTGTGCATCCGTGTGTGTGTGTGTGCATCTGTGTGTATGTGTGCACGGACATGTGTGTCTGTATGTGTGCATCCGTGTGTATGTGTGTATCTGTGTGTATGTGTGCACAGACATGTGTGTCTGTATGTGTGCATCTGTGTGTATGTGTGCATCTGTGTGTATGTGTGCATCTGTGTGTATGTGTGCATCCGTGTGTATGTGTGCAGGCGCACATATGTGCATTCTTGTGTTTTATGAAGGTACACACCTGTCATGGTCTGCACGGACATGTGTGTCTGTATGTGTGCATCCGTGTGTATGTGTGCATCCGTGTGTATGTGTGCATCCGTGTGTGTGCAGGCACACATATGTGCATTCTTGTGTTTTATGAAGGTACACACCTGTCATGGTCTGCACATAGAGGTCAGAGGGCAATTTACAGTGTCACTCCTTCCCTTCCACCTTGTTTGTTGCTCGCTACAGTATATGCCAGGCTAGCTGACCCAAGCATTTCCAGGGGTTCTCCTGTCTCTACCTTCTGTTGCACCATAGAGAAACATGGAATAACAGATGTGTCATGTAGCACTGCATCCGGCTTTCGTGGGTTCTAAGAAACTCCGGTCCTCACTCAGGCATGACAAGTACTAAGCCATCTCTCTGGCCCATGCATAGTATGTTTGCAGACAGGCAGAACCATACAATACCATGTGTCCAAAGCAAACAAAATATCCAAGATGAGTATAAGATAGAGACAGAGAAAGCAGTGTGCACTGGGCATCTCAAGCTCTTTTCTCCCACAGATCCCTCTGGCTGGTGGAAGGGCCGACTCCATGGCCAGGAAGGTCTCTTCCCAGGAAACTATGTGGAGAAGATCTGACTGCTTGCCCTGCCGGTGGGAGCTTTGATTTCCCTGGCTGCACTGGCCGGAATGCTCAGGCCTGTGGCTTCCAGCCCAGTGAGGGCCCTGTGTGTGGAGGATCACCACCATCACACCCCATGCCTGGTGCTGGCCTCCCATGGGTTGAATCACTGTCCAGGTCTCTGTTTCATCGTCTATCTGATAGGATTCGCTGCAGAACCTACCTCCCAACTGCCTTGTGTGTGTGAAATGATTCATGTCCTGCCCTGAGCGCCAAGTGCTGTGCACAGTCCAGGGTCAGGGGACTGACAGTCGGGCTCTCCACCTGAGGCAAATAAACATGTCGGGTAAAAACCAGGAGAAAATCACTGAGTTCTGGGGCTGGGGATGGGGCTTAGTTGGTAGAGTGCTTGCTTCTCAACATGAGGCCCTGGGGTTCATCAGGACCCACATAAAATCGGACATGGTGGTGCATGACTATGATCTCAGTAGTCAAGAGCCAGGGACAGGGACACCGAGACTGCAATGTCAGCCTTGACTATACGGTTGATTTTAAAAACAACATATATATTTGTGTGTGTGTGTGTGTGTGTGTGTGTGTGTGTGTGTGTGTGTGTGGTCTGAGGACACCTTTGTGAAGCCAGTTCTCTCCTTCCCCCATGTGAATTCTGGGAGTCAAACTCATGTCATCAAGCTCTGTGGTGAGGCCTTAGCCCCCAAGCCGTCTCACCAGCCCTAAATAACCGATGTTGAGGATGTCCTGGGCGATATAAGACTTTCGTGTGGGGGCGAGGAAACTGCTCCAAAAAGTCCTTCTGCTTCTGCATTTGCCTCAGGAAACCAACCTTGGCTGGGAAAACAAGCACAGAACATCATTCTGCAAAAGCATTTAACTGTCCTTGAGTGTGGCTGGACCCTTCCGTCTCTGAGTTCTTATACACTCCAGTTCAGAAGCACTTGTATAGCAAAGGGTTAAATCACAGTACTGAGAGAGAGAGAAAATAATGACTTATTATATAGACCAGGCTAGTCTTGTTTGTTTGTTTGTTTGTTTGTTTTTCGAGACAGGGTTTCTCTATAGCTTTGGAGCCTGTCCTGGAACTAGGCTTGAGCCACCACCACCACCCAGCTCAGGCTAGTCTTGAACCTCTACAAATCTGTCTGCCTTTGCCTCCCAAGTTCTAGAATTACGATTTATTTATTTTAAATAATTTTTTGAGATTATGAAAACAATTACATCACTTTCCCCTTCCTAAATACAAAAATACAACCTGCTCATTCTATAATGTCAATGCATGTATGTGCTTTCAGAGTTGACGCCTCGTCCTGAGTAACCATGGTGAGCTCTTCCCTGGGGAAGACTGATTCTCATGCTCTCAGCATCCCTTAGGTGCCTGTAACTCTTTGTCTAGGGTTGAGGCCTCACAAGCCTGGCCCCCCAATGGCTATGGTGAAGGAGGAGGGTCAGTGAGATGGCCAGCAGGCCAGTGCGCTCGCTGTTCACTCCTGGTAGAGCCCACATAAAGGTGGACTGGGAGAGCTGACTATGCAAATTTTTCCTCTTTCGACCCCCCCCCCTCCTGCTAACAACAAATAGGGGCTGCAGAGATGACTCAATGGTTAAGAGCACCGACTGCTCTTGTAGAGGTCCAGGGTTTGATTTCCAGTACCCACAAGGTGGCTCACAACCATCCATAACTCCAGTCTCAGGGTATCCAACACCTTCTGGCTCCCCTGGGCAGCAGGCACACACGGGGTACACATACACACATGTAGGAAAACACTTCTATACATAAATAAGAATAAAATATTTAAAATAATAATAATAGTACATAAACTGCTTAAGAGCAGCGGATGATTCGGCAAGTAGAGGTGCTTCCTACAGTACTGACAACACGTGCTGCATGTTGAGGACCACGTGATCAGAGACGAGAACTAATTTCTGCTAGCTGTCCTCTGACCTCTAAATGCACAACATGGTACATGTTTTCCCATACACACATAACAAAAAAAATTAATTGCAATTTTTAAATAAATAAATTTTCCTTACCAAAGGAGCAGGCTGGGGATGTAGCTTAGTTGGCAGTGTTTGCTTAGCATGAAGACCTGGGTTCCAACCTAGCAGTGAAATCTGTCACGGACTAGCCCCACATAAATCATTCTGACCAGTGCAGAGGCGTGGGAATATTAAAGACACAATTCACATGACAGTATGGGGAGGGAGTTTCAGTGATCATTTAAATCCTGAAATCATCCGCGTTTATTTTTCAAAAAGCTTTTATATCAATGTAAGCTGGGGGGAGGGGGGACAAAAACTTCATTGGCATTCTGTTTCCTAGGCAGCGGGGGAATGACTTAAGTCATGGCTTGCTTATGTTCAATTTGTCAGGGAGGCTGAAAACACCTCTTCCCCAGGTGACCTCATAATTACAATAGAAAAAGCAGAATGACATTAACGTATCCTGACCACTTTGAGGATGACGCCAGGTTTGCTTTTCTATCAAAGGAGCTGGGCGACCGTGCCAGATGCACCAGTTAGTCTCCCAGCTACTCCAACCGTCAGACAAATGTGGAAACGGCCTGCCTTCTCGGCTCCCACAGAAATGGAAGGAGGGAAGAGACAAGAGAAAGGAAAGGGAACAGAAGAGAAGAAGAAAAACAAGGTTGAGGAAAGTAGCTCATGTAGAAAGCCCTGGGTTCCATCCTGAGCACTGCATAAACCAGCTCTCATCCCAGCACTCAGAGGGCAAAAGCAGAATCAAGAGTGAAAGTTGCCAGGCGGTGGTGGCGCTAGTCTTTAGCACTTGGGAGGCAGAGACACCTGGATCTCTGTGAGTTCCAGGCCAGCCTGGTCTACAAAGTGAGTTCCAGGACAGCCAGGACAGCCATAGAGAAAGCCTGTCTCAAAAAAAAAAAAAAAAAAAAAAAGTGCAAAGTCATTTTGGGGCAGCCTGAGCTACATAAAAGAAAGAAAGAGGAGGCAGAAGAGGCAGAAGGGGTTTTCACTCTTTCCTTTCAAGCCCTGGCTCCACTGGCACGGAGGAAACCCCACTTAGAGGAAGGGAGGCTCCTGAGAAGGGTAACCGGTTAAGTGTTGGACAGGGTGCTGGAATTGGAGAATAAAACTGGGGCTGGATAAATTAGGTTAGGGACAGCTCCAGACTGTGAACCACTGTTACCTCAAACCCACCCAGTCGTCAGCTCCCACATCCTGTGGGTTCTTTCACAAAATGTCTTACATCCGGCCCCTCCACCCACTTCCTTGTGGCCCTGCTCTTTCCTCAGCCTCACCCCTTCTTCCTTCCCAGCATAAATACACCTCTCCACCTTGCAACAAAGAGAGGCTGGGACTCCAGGCCAGCTGGTCAAGTGCTTGGCTAAATGCACAAAGCCCCAGGTTGGGTCCCCAGTATGGCATACAGCAAATGTTGTGGTTTTATACCTACAATCCCAGCACTTCAAAGTTATCCTCGGCTACACAGTTGCCAATTTCACACACATGTTTTGAACATATCCACCAACACCTCCAGCTGCTCTCACAACCATCCATGTCAAATAAACCTGAAGATTTTTTCTGTCTTTCTTTTCTTGAATTTCCCCATCGAATCTAGCTTGTATTGTCGCTTTATTCTTGGAAATGGGGCCTTGGTGTGTGGTCAACCTACCAGGGGTCACTGTTCCCTTGATGCTACCTTCTATCTCTGATTCCTACGCTCTTTCTGATATTTCTTCTGAGAAGATGACCCCTGGAGGGAGAGGTATAACATACAGGTGCCATTTAGAGCTGAATATTCAACAGTCTCTTATTCTCTGTATGTTGACCAATTCAGGAGACCCTGTCTGGTTGTTTCTGTTTTCAAAAATAAATTTTAGGTGTATGAGTGTTTTGTTTGTATGTTGAGTCATCTCTCCACCTGTGATCCCAGTAATAAAGACTCTGAAGAAGGCTGAGCGTGGTGACCCACTTTTAATTCCTGCACTGTGCTATGTCCTTGGGCCTCCTCTTGAATTTGTTGTTATTGTTGGGGGAGGTGTTACTTGGAGATTTCTGGTTGGTTTGTTTGTTTGTTGGTTTATGAGATATGTTCTCACTACATAGCCCTGGTTAGCCTGGAACTTTTATGTAAAGAAGGCAGGCCTTTCGCAGAGATGAGACTGCTTCTACCTCCCAAATATTGGAATTAAAGATTAAACATTCCTGGCTTGTTTTAGTTTTTTGAGACAGGACCTCATGTGGCACAGAATAGTATTGAATTCTATGTATCGCTGAAGATGACCTTGAATTCCTGACTTTCTTGGCTCTACTTCTGGTGCTGGGGTGACAAGCGCACCTACCACAGAAGGTGTCTGTAATTCTAGGGACAAACCTATGGTTTGTGCATGGTAGTCAAGCAGTCTACTAAGTAAATGGCATCCCCAACCCCTTTCTCAATTTTAATTTATTTTATTATTTGTCTATATGTATGTGTGTTTCTGAGTGAGTACAAGTGCCAGCAGAAGACATGCCAATTTTCAGGAACTGGATTTGTGAGCAGCCATGTGAACTTGGGTTCTCTGCAAGAGTTCAATCTTGGAGCCATCTCTCCAGCCCCCATCTTTCTCAGTTCCTAAATGTCTTCTAACCATCTTCTTAGCCTAAGTGGCACATACAGACTCGTAGTTTATCTAGAAATATGCTGCATATAACGTCTACAGTTGTTTATGACTCAATAAACATCTCTTGAAAGCTTGGATGCATAAGGATCTGGGATCTAAATTCTACTTTATCAACTACCCCAAAACCCATCCTCCAAATGATCACCAGAAGGAGATGCTGTGCCTCCCCCAGTTAACTAGCTGTCCCATCCCCCACCCGGCAAGGAAACACCTAAAGCCAGAGGTCAACAATTCAAAATAGCTTCAGAACGTCCCTGAAACTGACTAAATTCACCTGCCAGAGTAAACAGCACAGGTTGCTGAGACTTCACTTTCACAAAAGTCTGCAAATAAGACTCAGAGCCGCCAGCTGTCTGGAAGAGGTTTAGACCAACTAAGTCACTTGGAAAGGACATCCTCCACCCTGCTGAGCTGCTCCAGTGTGCTCCAGGGTTCCGGCTTTTGTGCACTATCACGCATTAAGGGGTGGGCTTTGGTGACGCCGCTGTCTTTGAGTCATTTCTGCTTCTCTGAGTAACCCCTCACTCATATTCCTATAAGTAACCACAGAAAATCTCTTGGTTCACCAAGGTGGGCTCCCTATCTAAGGTGAGTAAACATGTTTGTGTGTCCCTAGAAAAGGTATTTGTCACACAACAGCACCTGCCACAGAAGCATCAAGTCCTGAGTTCTGAACCCCAGATATTAGGCCAGGAAGACACTATGGCCTCTCTGTAACTTCAGCCTCAGCTGGTGGAGGCAGAGGATCCCCAGAGCAAGACTAGCCACACTGGTGAGATCTGGGTTCTATCGAGAGGTTCTGTCTCACTGAGTATGGGCAGAGTCACCGCACGAACCTCCAGCCTTCACATGTATAAGCAACCAGGTACACATGTGCCCACACACATGTACCCACACACGTGTGCACATGTACCTGCATGAAACCCCTTCACTAACACGCATGCACCACACACATGAAAATGGGAAAATAATATTCATCAGTGACAGCATCAGAAACCACATTTTCTCATGTTTCCACCTCTCACGGAGCCTACGGGACCTACCCAAGTTCTCTTCCTGGCCTCCACACCATGTCTGTTTGCACAGTGGAGAGATCTCCTCACTGTAGCCCAAAAAAGGGGAACTTGTTCCTTGCCAGCTTCCGGAGTGCTCAGCTTTCCCAGGTATCAAGGCTCAGCTCCAGGCCCCTCAGCCGGTTTCCCTGACTCATGGGCTGTTTGTTTTCTTATCTTGTGGGGCAGATCCAAGATCAGGTCTCTGCTGTTGTTATTGTCATTGTGTCCAGTGGCGAGCAGCACTACTGTCCCTTCCTGGCACCGAGTGTGCACTTACGAGAAGTAGGATGGGCGGGAAACCTCATTGCACGACACCAATGCACTTGGGATTCATGTTCACACCTTGCTACTTGTGGGATTTACCTATTCACTAAACCTGAGGTCCACAGTTCTGAATTAGGCTATTTATTTATTTATTGTGTATACAATATTCTTTGTGTATGTCTACAGGCCAGAAGAGGGCACCAGACCTCATTACAGATGGTTATGAGCCACCATGTGGTTGCCGGGAATTGAACTCAGGACCTTTGGAAAAGCAGGCAATGCTCTTAACCACTGAACCATCTCTCTAGCCCCTGAATTAGGCTATTACAACAGATTTATTCATGTTTTTCATTTTTTATGTACATTGGTGTTTTGCCCACGTGTATATCCATGTGAAGGCATTGGATCTCCTAGAACAGGAGTAGCAGACAGGTGTGAGCTGCCATGTGGGTGCTGGGAACTGAACCCGGGTCCTCTGGAAGAGCAGCAGTGCTCTTAACCTCTGAGCCACCTCTCCAGCCCCAACAGATTCATTCTTACTGTACACTTGGATACACTGAAAAATTCGAAACTTGCTAGGAAGAATGCTCTGTGCAGACATGAAGGATCAGGGTTCATGCTCACAGAATTCATGTAAATGAGGGAGAATTTGGATCCCTGGCACTCCCTGGGTGGAAGACATAGCAGTTACCTGTAATTGGGGCACTTGGGAGGTGAACACAGAATCTTCTGGCAAGTTACACCAGTGGGGACTGGTGACCTCTAGCTTCAGTAACAGACATTGCCTCAGTAAATAAAGTGTAGAGCACCTGAGGAAGGCAATGTTCACTGTGGCCTCCATGTGGAGGCTCCCATCTGTGCACACCTAGATTCACCTGCATATGTGTCTGTGCATATATGTCCACACACATATTAGTGTGTGGAGTGTTTGCCTAGCACACAGGAAAACTCTGGCTTCGACACCTAGTACCACCCGAAACCCAGTGTGGGAACATCCAAGTTCAAGGTAAGAACAACCCAGACCAATAACAACAATAATAATAAGGTGGTGGTGGGGAGCTGTTGTCAATTTTCAATGAAAAGTAAACCAATTAAAAGCAAACAGTATGGGAACACTAGTCTGACAGGCTGAGGTGGGAAGACTGAAAGTCTGAAGTCAACCTGACCTGGTATACAAAAAGAAGAAAAAGTACTGCTTTTCGCCTTTCCAGAGTTGGTTATGCCATATAGGGAAAGGATGGAGGTACTCATTTTGCAGGCAAGGACGCTAGGGCCTGGAGAGATTTCTCAGGTAGGAGCTTTACTTCCGCTTTTGCAGTCACTGATACAAAATTCCCCCCGCCTAGGCGCAGCAGGCTAGCGCCAGCCCCCTCCTCCTAGGAGGCTCAGGATTAGGCCACACCCCAGATCTCGCGAGATCCCAGGAGCGGGGGGGGGGGGGGGGGAGGGGGGGAAGGGGGGAAATGGCGCCGTCGTGATCGAGACCCCGCGTCGCCGAGGAAGTCGCCGGTGCTGGAGCCGGAGCCACCGAAGGCACCCGAACCGGAGGTCGAGCTGAGGGGAGGATGGTGAGCGTGGCATCCGGCACGCGCGCACGGAGGAGCAGCGGGAATTGTCCGGGAGCGGCCCCGCGGCGCGCACCCCAACCAGCCCCGCCCCTATATCCGGGTCCCCTCCCGCCGCTGACTGCCCCTTGGGCCACGCCCACTCTGCCCGAGCTCGGCCCCTGAACCTCAGGTCCTGGCGCTGAGCACGGCTCTAGCTCAGCCAGCATTGTAGGCCCTGCTGCATTTTCCAAGTTGCTCCCGGGCCGGACCCTCGCCCACTTTCCTAGGCCACGCCTCCGCCCATGGTGCCTTTCTCCTGTCAAAGTTGGAGAAGGGATGTTACCGATGCTCTTCTATGCATAATCCCTGATATAGACTTTCTTCTGCAACTGAAATTAGGAGACAGTAGCTCAGTCTGCCCTCACCTCCCGTAACTCATCTTGCTGGTGACTCAGAAAGTGGAATGGCTGGGTAATATTTGGCGGGGGTGAGAGGGAGTTAGAAACCCCGAGTCTTGTGGGCCTTAGGAATGGAAAGACCTCCCTCTGTCCTAGGCAGACTCTGATCCCAGCCTTATTCTAGCCACTTCTTGCACCAGGAGGAACCGTCCAAGCCCAGCCCGGACATACTAGCCACTGCAGAGTCCAGCTCCAGTGAGCCCGACAAGGAGGTGGAGTCTCCAGATGCGGTCGCTACAGCCACGTTCTCCTCCGTGGAGGAGCCAGGCCCTAACCCGACACCCATACCACCAGTGTGGGACCGTGGAGGACCTCCGCAGCAGGTCGCCGCTGCAGCCCCAGACACCTGCCAGCCGGGCTCAACCAGCACAGCTGTGGGGACCAATGAGGACCTGAGGTTGCCCAGACGACGTCCACCACCAGGTGATCTGTGATGGAGCCTTCATAGGTCCGTCGGTAGGACTGAGATGGTGCAGGATCAGGAATTACCTTGTATCCCATCTAGGGGGTTCCTTACCATTTACTGAGCACCAAGGCTTTGCAGGTGTAGCAGTCAAACCTATCCAGCCTTTCCAGGCAATTTATTCTAGTAGTAAGGGGAGGGGAACTTGTTCAAGGCTTTGAGAATGGGGGGTCAATAAGGAAAAAATTGATGACACCCATCTATTCCGCAGTAAAACAGATACCCTGCTCTAGCCCTGGCTGCTGCCTCAGTTTCCCCAGTATTCGTGATCTGGCACAACATCTCCGTACCCACTGCCCGCCCACACAATCACTGGAAGGTAGGCAGGTTAGGGTGGACGAGACAGAGACCCCCCCAGGGTCAGTCCTAACCACCACCCCATTCCACACCTGCCCTTCATCTCTACCAGGCAAACTCTTCCGATGCTCAGCCCTGAGCTGCACTGAGAGTTTCCCCAGCATGCAGGAGCTGGTGGCCCACGGCAAGCTACATTACAAGCCCAACCGCTACTTCAAGTGAGACCCCGACCTTCTGCTCTGTTGGTCCCTTTCTAGTCTGTGTGGAGGAGGGCGGGGCAGGTGGGGACATGACCAACCCCAGCAGTGCATGGAGGATGGATGTGAGTGACCGAAGGATCAGCTGGAGTGGCAGGGTATACATGCTGTGGTTCTGTCCTGTTCCATCTCACCTCTTAAATGGAAAACTGCCTGCCTAAGGAAAGTCAGAGCTTGAGGCTCTGAGCTGGAGAGGTCGGGAAGGATCAAGGATAAGGGCACAGAGTCACAGAGATTTCAACCTAGAAACCCTTCCCACATCCTGGTCCCTGGGTAGCAGTGGCTAGACCTCTTCCTATTGTTGCCTAGGAGACAGTTCAGCCCTGTGTCTCCCCCCAGGTGTGAGAATTGCCTCCTGCGCTTCCGCACTCACCGCTCCCTCTTCAAGCATCTGCATGTTTGTGCAGAGCATGCTCAGAGCCCAGTCCCACCACCACCCCCTGCCCTGGACAAAGAGCCACCCGTGCCCGAGCGCCCCGCAGACTCCGACCCCTCATCTATTCTGAGCCTGCCTTTCCCTCTACTTGAGCCCTTCACCTCTGCCCCCACTGGGCCCTTCCTTCCCTACTTGAACCCTGCGCCCTTTGGACTGAGTCCCCCGCGACTGCGCCCATTCCTGGCCGCTGCTCCAGGACCTCCAGCCTCCAGCACTGCCATCTGGAGAAAGAGTCAAGGTGAGTGTGAGAACCAGTTGCCTGCAAGGCTGATTGGGCCCACCTTTACTTACCTGCCTCTTTCCTGCAGGTGCTGCCGGAAGTCCCAGAAAACCTCAGGGCGGCTCAGATGCGCCCTCAGGTGCGTGCAGGTGACGACCAGGGCAGGGTGGAGGGGCCTTCATTCCTGTGCCCTGCGCCAGCCCTGTGAATGCCCGGAAACAGCAGTGCGTGTCCTTTGAAATACATGATTTTTACCTTTCAAATGCCTGGCACCTATACCTTCATCTGCGTCGGCGTTGTGTAAAAACTTGCGCCTTGTCCGTATCTGAGTGGTCCTCTCCTGCAGAGGTCCAGGGATGGGAGCCAAACTTGGTGCCTTCAGTGATTGGCAGTCAAGCCCAGGAGAAAGGACCCAACTCCCTGGACCCTGGAAGCTGAGGGGGACGAACATAGGGAAAAGTCTAATTTGCCCTGGCCGACATCCACCATCCCTGTGGAAAGGTCCTCTGGGGTGGAACCCAGGACTGACCACGGCCTGCCTGCCTGCCTGCCTGCCTGCCTGCCTACCTGCAGGGTACGTGGCCCCCAGCCGCATAGTGTGGGAACACACGCGTGGCCGCTACTCGTGCATGCAGTGTGACTTCTCCACGGCCTCACGGCCTACCATGACACTGCACCTTCAGGACCACCGCCCCAACACCCCCACAGACCTGGCGCCCGGGTCCCTCCGGGCCGGTGCCCGGGCGGGTAAGGCTGAGGCAATGAAGCCCGAGGCAAGAGGTGAGGCCCAGGCTCAGCGGCCGCCCCTCAGCACCACACAGACCCAATCTCATTTGCTCCTGCTGCATCACAACTGTCAGAGGGGGAGCGGTCCGATTTTTCACAGTTCTGGACCAGCTGTGTTGGCCTGGGTGGGAGAGCCTGCAGAGATTTTTGTAATTTGAAGGGGGAGGGGATAATAAAGGAGGTGTCTTTGGTCCTGTGCTGTGTCTTAGGTCCCTTGCCCCTCAGATAAGATTTTTGTTTATTGTGTGTGTGATGCCCATGAAGATTAGAAAAGGGTGTGAGATCCCCAGACACTTGTGGGTGCTGGAAACCAAACTTGAGTCTCCTGCCCTCCCCTCAAATAAGCAGTAGGCTGCTACCTACTGACTGGGTCCAGGGTACTTAGAAGTGGCTTCACAGAACCTGACCCCCCTCAATACTTCTGTCACTGTCTACCTGGCACCTCAGCCCTGTGCCACCCTAGCCAGCTATAGGTAGGGCAGACACTGCCCACCATTCTGTTCCACAACTTCCAGAAACCAGGTAAGATAGAATTTTCAGTTGTTTTCCTTTATTTAAAAACCAAAAAAACAAGCAGGCAAAGGCAGGCAGATCTCTGAGTTTATACAGGGTTAGTTCATCAAAAGCTGTCTTGAAAAATAAACAAAACATGGGACCAGTAAGACGGCTCATCGTGTTCAAGTGCTTGCACAAGCAACCCTGATAACGTCAGTGTGAACCAAGTGAGGTGGGAAAGAAAATCAACTCTAAAGTTGTCCTCCTAAAGCCTGGTGGTCACACCTTTAATCCCAGCATTTGGCTTGATAAAAGTGGCAAGTTCCGCCCGGGTGGTGGTGGCACACGCCTTTAATCCCAGCACTTGGGAAGCAGAGGCAGGCGGATCTCTGTGAGTTTGAGACCAGCCTGGTCTACAAGAGCTAGTTCCAGGACAGGCTCCAAAACCACAGAGAAACCCTGTCTCAACAAAACAAAAAAAATCTTTTTGGGCTGGAGAGTCTCCTGAGTGCTGGCAAACTGAACTTTTATCTTCATCTGCAGACCTCCTTCTGCCCCAGTCCCAGCTCTAGAGAGTTGGAGGTTCCTGTTTAAGAATACCAAGGATGGAGATGTAGCTCAGTAAGTGCTTGCCTAGCCTGCGCAAAGCTATGGGTTCTATCCCCAGCACCAACACCGGCAGTGCTGGTGGAGGCATTCATTTCAGAACTGGGGAGTAGTGTGGAGGATCAGAAATTCAAGGTCATCCCAGCTACATATGGAATACATAACACACACACACACAATATGCCAGGCCATGCCTCTCGTCTAGCTCCAACCATCAGAGTACCTGTGGAAGTCTTTCACCAGTCCTCCTCAGTGGATAAAGACTCCTGTTTGGGGGCTGGAGAGATGTTATACTAGGTACAACCAAGATCTGAGTTCAGATTCCCAGCACCCACTTTAAAACTGGGCATGGGAGGGGGCAGAGAGAGCCAGGTCCTGGGGCCTTAATAGCAAGCCAGTCTAGCTGAAAAAGTGAGTTAACGGTTCTGTTGAAAGACCCTGTCTCAGTGACTGATCTCCACATGTGCTGGCTTGGTTATGTGTACTCCCCCACAGACAATACACGCCAACACAGATCCTGTTCTAGCAGCCCAAAGGGATTCTCAAATCTCCTCATATTCTTCTGTGGCCATAACTCTTCACAGCTGCTACGTCTGGAGAAGAAAAACCCAAAGACCTCCTTGGTCCCACCCCACCTTGTCCCACTTACTATTCCCTTGTATCCTAACTCTGAGTCAGAATTGTCCTTTATCACCTCTTTTCCTGATGTCTGTAGCCAAGACACCAGTCACCAGATGAGTTGGGTCCTCCAGGCCCTACATCACTGTCATAGTCCTGCCTCCTCTACCCAACTTCACTGCTTGTAGGCTCTAGAGAATGAAGAACAGCAGCCATACTTCTGGTTTTGAATAAGTGAATTTATTAGGCAAAAGTAAAAGAATAAATAGCAAGTGATTGGTGGGAAGTGGAGAGACCTCCTGGCCAGCCAGGCTAGCCAAAGGGTGAGTGTCAGGTTTTGTGAGAGACCTTGTCTCAAAAACTAAGTTGGAGAATAAAGGAAGACACCTGATGGCAACCTTTGACCTCTGTAAACATAAGCACAGATTCATACACCCACCCACACGATAAAGTGGATGTCATAATGCTCGCACTATGGAGAGGCTAGATTTGGGAATGTCTGCTCAGTGAGTCTTGTCCCAGGAACTGAGTACTGGGGACAGATACCAGGAAACTATAGAACTTCCCCACACCCCATTCCCTGCCCAAACCACTAGTTATGTGAAAAGCAGGGAGGATAATAGGCTAGTTAAACACGTTCTTGCTACCCCACCAGTCTCATACCACGCAATAGCAGACTTAAGCCAAAACATTCATTTATGTTGTTTCTAAGACCAGGTCTCACTGTGTCTCTTGCTGGATTGGTACTATGTAAACCATGATGGCCTCAAACGATGGGATTTTCTGATCCTCCTGTCTTAAACTCCCAAGTGCTGGTTTTTGTTTGAGACAGGGGCTCTCTATGTGGCCCTGGCTGTCCTGGAATTTGCTCTGTGGATCAGGCTGGCCTCGAACTCATAGAGATCCACCTGCCTCTGCCTCTCAAGTGCTGGGATTAAAGGCATGTGCCACGCAAGTGCTGTTTTATGTGGTTTTGTAACTCAAACCCAAGGCTTTGTGCATGCTATACAAGTAGCTATCAACAGAGCTAAAACCTCAGATTTACTGAGCAGATTTTGCTTCAACGGAGTCTCAATTTTTTTTCTTTTTTGAGACAGAGTCTCACTATGTAACCCTGGCTGGCTTTGAATTCACAGAGATCTGTCAGCCTCTGCCCAAGTGCTGGGATAAAGGTCACACTATGCACTACTAAGAAGGTCTCAACTTTGTAGCCTGAGACTGGACATGTACTTAAGATCCTCTTGCCTGGGCTGGAGAGATGGCTCAGAGGTTAAGAGCATTGCCTGCTCTTCCAAAGGTCCTGAGTTCAATTCCCAGCAACCACATGGTGGCTCACAACCATCTGTAATGGGGTCTGGTGCCCTCTGCTGGCCTGCAGGCATACACACAGACAGAATATTGTATACATAATAAATAAATATTTAAAAAAAAAAAAAAGATCCTCTTGCCTTCAGTCTCCAAAGTACTGTGATTAGAGACATGTGCCACTATACCTGACTAGAACATGCGCTTTGGGAATAAGTTTCTTTCATTTTTTGAATCAGGGTCTCACTATACAGCTTTGGCTGGCCTAGAACTCACTGAGTAGATTAGGCTAGCCTTAGATATGTACCGAACCCCCACCTCTGCCCAGGGGCCTAGAATATGTGCTCTGTATCAGGGTGACTCCAGTGATATCAACACTTATACTAGAACATGTGCTCTGTATCAGGGTGACTCCAGTGATATCAACACACTTATACTCACCTGTGTACTGAAACCACCCTGCCAGGGCCCAAATAATCCCAGACAGGTGAAGCCATAGTCTCTGGAAGAGATCCTTTTCTTAACAGCTCAAGAAATTCTATTCTGATTCCAAACCGAGAATCATATCTCTACTGAGTGTTTTGTTCCTGTGGACTGAATCTTGCCATCAGGACTCTCCTTTACCTGTATCAACCTTGGTCCTTCTTTGGGCTCTCAAGGGCCGCTTCCATTTTCCTGTAACCCAGTCTTCTGGTTTCTTCCTTCTACTTCCTTTAACCACTGGGAACTTGATGTGTCCTTAAAACCCCCTGCCTCCCCAGGGGCAATGATATTCCCTCACCTCAGTGGCAAATCTTTAACATTAACATCAATGGCGATGCTTAAGCATGCATGGCGGCCCGTTTTCGGCAGTTCTCCAGTTGTTACCATCCTGGGCAGTCTTAGACACTGCTGTCATACCCACGGTTCCACTTTTCCTTTATGCGGTTTATCCAGCGGGGTTTTTTGTTTTTGTTTTTACTTCCTCTTTGCCTTATAATGTGCACTCCTCCAACCAGTGCTATCTTTGAGTATCTGCTGCCATTCATTCTCATACCCCACCTTACCCCAATCTATCCCAGTTGAGCCTTCTGCGGGGTACCCAGGCCTGGCTGGTGGGGCATTTGTTACCTGAATAGGGAAGTCCTGTTGAGAGTACATGTATCGAAACAAGGAAGGTAGATGAAGCAACACAGGATGACAGATATGTCCTCACCATTGCACCAGCCATATCCTAGCTCTAATTCTTTTCAGAGACTTCCTAAGCCCCAGAGCAAACTGTAACATCCCCACTCAGGTACTCTGTCCCTGTGGCTGTCCTGAGTTTGGGCTTGGCCTGCTTCTTTGGAGACCCCAAAGTCTTAAGAGTAAAGGGGACAATAGGGAATCGAGGCTAGTGATGGCTAGTAACTGTGTGCATTAGAGATGTGCTTAGGTATGTTGACCTGAGCTTGGGGACAATAGTAGGCAGGCAGGAACAAGGAGGGGACAGACCTCCGCCTCCTTCCTCCTCTGCCCTCCCCACTCCAACAACCCCTATTTGATGTGTCAGCCAGTGGAGCAGAAACCACAGATACTTCCTCAAAGCAGCAGCCTAAGCTCAGAGCCCACTCACCCCCTGAAGCCACATCGCCCCCTGAAGCTATGGTGAGTGAGTCCCCAAGCCCCTAGTAGAAGTCCATTCTCGTCAGAAACAAGGGGCACAAGCAAAAACTGAGAAACTGGTAAACAGGCTCCATGGGTAGCCCGGCAGAATAGAGCTGGCAACAGTCTTGAGAATGAAACGCTTCAGGCAAAGGTAGAGAACAGCCAAGGCCCAGCTTGAGCTCTTGTGGCTCAGGCTTGGATCTGTGATTGCGAGCGGGGCAGGCTGGGTCTGCCTGGAATGGTATCTCCTCACCCCAGGTCAGCATCTGGGATGAGAACATCCTGTGGGGTAAGTGGGTCATGCACCTCCTGCCCTAGCCTCCCCCTCCACCACCACCCACCCAGACAGTCATCCAAGCTAACCCTTCCTTATCTCTGCTAACCCTTCCTTATCTCTGTCTAGAGCTGTTGCCTCAACTCAATGACTAGGGCTTCAACAAAGAAATGTCTAACTCTGGAAAAGAATTGCTTCCTTCCCAGAGGTGCTTCTGAATCTCTCCATCTCAGATGGGCTCACACGATTCTGCCCTCCCTGTCCTCCGATCTTTTTGACTCTAGATGAAGGAAGGCTGAGAGGCCCCTCAGAGAAGGTATTGCCTTGTTATCTACTTGTACCTGTAACCTGTGGCAAATGGCCAGCTCTGAGAGCACCAGAATGTTCTGAACATACCATACAGTACATGTGCTCATGTGGAGAGTCTGCTTGCTGGTTGTGGGTGTTGTGAGCATTCCTGTGTATACACATCTTAGACTGAATGTATGCCTGTCTGACTGTAGTTCTGCTTAGACTTTAATTTCTTTTTTTTTTTTTTTTTGGTTTTTCGAGACAGGGTTTCTCTGTGGTTTTGGAGCCTGTCCTGGAACTAGCTCTTGTAGACCAGGCTGGCCTCGAACTCACAGAGATCCGCCTGCTTCTGCCTCCCGAGTGCTGGGATTAAAGGCGTGCGCCACCACCGCCCGGCCCTAGACTTAAATTTCTGTAAATATTTACTGAGTACCTACTATGTGCCAGGCACTGGGAAGTCACTGATGATCTAGATGTATGTGAAGGTTGGGTCTTCCTTGATGGCTTTCTACCTTCTTTTTCGTGACAGGGTCTCTAACTGTACCCAGAGCCTGTTGACTTAGCTAGCCTAGCTAGCCAGCAAGCCCTAGAGGATCTTCTCTCAAGGCCTCTCCAAGTGCTGCTCCTGACTTTTTTATGTGTGGGTACTGAGGATAGAATTCAGGTAGTCAGACTTCCATGACAAGTACTTTGCCTACTGAGCAATCTCTTTAGCTGCCCAAATAGACTTTAACAGTTTAGGCCAACTGCGTGTGGTGCATACACCTTAATCCCAGCATGTGGGAAGTGGAGGTAGGAGGATAAGGAGTTTATTCTCCTCAGCTACATAGCAAGTTTGAGGCCAGCCTGGGATATATGAGACCCTGCTTCGATAAACAAACAAACAAGACAAAAACGCTAGTCAGTGATGTGGTGTGGCTCAATGCCACAGAGCTTGCTTAGCAAAGTACTGGGCTCCATCCCAACACTACAAAAATACAAACCCCCAAAACAACCTGGTTTTAAAGACATTACAGCAGAACTAATATAAAAAATTTGATAGGTGATGGGAAATATAAAGAGAACAGTTAGGAAGGGCAGTGAAGGTGGACAACTGGGCAAGGGAAACTGATTTAAAATAGGGTTGTCTCCTTAAGGAGTACTGTCGCCTAAGACATGGAGGAAGAAGAGGACAGACCCGTGTATTGAGATTATGCATTACAAACATGACAGAAGCTATGAGATGGGGGGAAGTTTTTGCTTTCCCTGGAAAAATGAAAACTGAGAGGTTGGGAACAGAGAGATTCAGCAGGCCTCCTTTAGAGCAGCAGACTTGGGATGAGCCCATTACAATATTCAGTCAGGGCTATGGGGATAGCTCCTCCAGCTGGGGTGACAGTGAGACGTGGTTGGATTCCGGATTTTTTTTTTTTTTTTGGTTTTTCGAGACAGGGTTTCTCTGTAGCTTTGGAGCCTATCCCGGAACTAGCTCTTGTAGACCAGGCTGGCTTTGAACTCCCAGAGATCCGCCTGCTTCTGCCTACCGAGTGCTGGGATTAAAGGCGTGCACCACCACTGCCCGGCCCGGATGTATTTTGAAATCAGAACAAAACAGGCTGGGAAGAACCTGGTGGTCAGGCAGGGGGCAAAGAGGGAACCAAATGGGAGCAGAAGGGGCAAAGGCTGAAGATATTGGGAAGTACTTCACTGACGGAAAGCACCCTGTGGGAGTCATGGGCTAGTAGAGGCATCAGGACCTAGGTCCTGTTAGAGATGAGGTTTGACCCAACTTGGGTGGAGGAGTCAGGGGTGTGTGGCTTCCAGGAACCTGAGGAATAGCTCTTTACCCAAAAAGAGAAGCTGGCTGAGGTAGAGCTGAGGTTGAGGAAGAAGCAATGGTAGAATGGGAGCCAAAGGGAAAGGGAGGGTGATGGGTTTGGTTTGTGTGTCTATGACCAACTGTATCTGTAGGTACCTAGTTGTTTCTCCATTTGCTTTCCTGTCTTCTTAGGGAAGCAATCAGGACTTCCGAAACCTCCAAGCTAAGTTCCAGGCCTCTCAAGAGCCTGGAGAACCATCCAGAAAACCCATAAAGCCTGAGTTCAACAAACTCCTGAAGAAGTTTCCACAGACTGAGTTAAGTGAGCAGCCCAAGAAGGCCTCAGAGTCTGAGCTCAGCACAGTGTCCCTGAAACCCCTGCAGCTGCAGTTTACGGACATCCCCAAGAAGACCTCACAGTCAGAAGGTCTTAGAAAGTCACCACAGCCTGAACTCAAACATTTCCCAAGGAAGCCTCCACATCCAGAGTTCACTAATCTCCCCAAGAAGCCTCCAAAACTCAAGTTTGGTGAACTCACCAAGTCTCCACAGCTTGGGGAACCCCAGGAACCTAGTATATCTACCCAGAAGCCCCTGAAATCTGAGCTCAGCAATCCTGCCAGGCCCCCAGTAGAGCTCAAACCTACCACATTTCCCAAGAAGTTCTGGCAGCCTGAATCCAGTGAGGCCCCTCTGAAGTCCTTGCCCAAGAAGCCACTGCAGTCTCAGGCTGCTGGTTCCTCTAGGAAGTCCCTGACACAGGTAGAGTCCAGCGAAGTTCCTCAGACATCCAAGCCTGGGTCCAGTGAGTTTTACCCCAACTCGCCAGAGCCTGACGTCAGTACCTTTCCCAAGAAGTCCCTGCAGTCTGAGCTCAATGAGAATTTCAAGAAATCTCCATCTCTTCAGGCCACTGGTTGCACAAAGTATCCACAGCAGCCCATGTCCTATGAGGTCCCCCAGACAGCCCCCTGGAAACCTGAGTCATATAATCCCCCATCTCACTCCCTGCAGCCGGACGTCCATGCATTGCCCAAGAAGCATCCACAGCTCCAGCTAAGTGACCTTACCAGGACATCCTCGGAGCCCGAAGTCTGCAAATTTCCCAAGAAGCCTCAGCAGCCAGCCCCCAAAGTGCTTTCTAAGAAGCCTTCGCAGCAGGAACTGGGTCATCTCCCTAGAACATCCTCAGAGCCTGAGTTCAGCTCACTCCCCAGGAAGTTTCTGAAGCCTCCACATGGCAAGTTCTTCCAGCCTGACTTTCCCAAGGGTCTGCCCGGAAAGCCCAAACTTCCTGGTTCAGTATCTGAGTGCTCCCTGCCCTCTGCCTTTGAGGGTTCCAGCCCCCAGTTCCCCCTCAGCCCTGGGTATGGAATCTCTCGGACACCCAATTGGAGATCAGAAGACTTCCAAGTCCAGCACCCGCCCCAGCGAAGGCCTTTGCCTTCAGCCAGCAGCCTGGGATCTCCTCCAGCCAAGCCCCCATTACCACCTGTCCCCATCAGTATCCAAAGCTTCCGGAGAGCCTCAGCAATGGCCACAGGTGAGTTAGAGTAGGTGGTTCAGGCAGAGGAGGGGGAATATTTGGGTAGAGCCACTTCCTTCCCATCCTCTCTCTTCCACAGCTGTCCTGAAGACTGGCTCTTCTGAGACCCACTTCCCAGCCCAACCTCAACAGACCCTGCAGTGAGTGCTGGGAGAAAGGGGCCAGGCATGGGTATAAGGCTAAAGGAGGCCCTCATCTCAGGTGTCCCTGCAGGAACCCGGACGAGATCTATGAGCTGTATGATGCTGTGGAAGCCACAAGTGACTCTAGTCTCAGCCCAAGGGGCAGAGGTTTGTAGGTGGTCTGGGTGGTTGGCTTGGGTACCCATGAAACATTAGTTACAAAGGCATGCTCGCATGATCCAAGTTTAAGAACACAAAGTGATCCAGACCAGACTGGATGCTGGTGGGCCAGATGGTAAGGAAGGGGAAGCCCAGAGCCAAGGAGCCAGGCTTTCTGTAGGTAGAAGCATGTGACAAGAGGCCTGGACAACAACGGAAGAATCACAGAAACCACAGCTGGCAAACCAGACAAGATGGTGTATCAGGCAGGGAATGAGTGGCATGCTCCTTTCATATAACCTAGCACTCGTGCAGAGGAGTCATGGCAGGATCATGGATAAGGAAGGCATCAGGTTCCAAATGTACACCTATAACTCCAGCATTTAGGCAGCAGGATGATCTGCCTTGGCTACTCAGAAACCAAGACGAGCCTGGATGAGATCCTGCAAACAAAACCAAAGCAAATGCCACCCACCAGGTTCCTTGCAGTTCATCCCAAGAGAATGTCCCAGCAAGATGTATACATGCAGCAGGTTTTCCTTTCTTCTAAGTCAGTCTGAGGGGCTCCACAATTGGTGTCTCCATGGCAACAGCATGGGTTTTTATAGAGCTTTGATGATTTTGTAGCCAAGGGAGTTACCCTATTGCCAATGAGGAAGTTCAAGGATCTGAGACTAGGCCCAGCCAGTTGATTTAGAGCTGTGGGGATTCCAGCTAAGTGCACCCCCCCCCACACACACACACTATTCCCTGTTTTACTAGCTTACTTGGCCTTGGGATGTGCTTGCTCTCACTGTTCCAGCTGGAGGTCCGGATACAAAGACAGATGCTTTCAAATTCTCCAGCCCTTGCTCCTTTCTGGGCCCTTTTTGTTTGCTTCTCCTGGTTCATCAAGAGAACACCCACAGTGCTTCTGTGGAGGGGAAGCTCTATAGTTGGGGGAGGGGTCACTGTTCAAGATCATGATCAAATATCAGACCCCTGAATTTCTCTGTTCAGAGCAACGTGTGAGCCTTCCTATGGCACAGAGCCTCTCCAAATCTGTTTTGAGTATCTCTGAGTGATCTTTCTAGTACCAGAGTGGCCTTCGGACCACCTATTCTTTGGTTCCTTTGAAACATGGCAGCCCCTCTACATCTTTTGTCAATTGGGAACTCACCTGGAGGGGCAGGGTTCAGCCCTGCTCAGAACAAGCTGCAGGATGACCCAGAACCAGAGAGCCCAGTATTGTCATAGTACACCTGTAACTCCAGCTTCTAGCTGTGAGACCACTCAAGGCTGAGGCAGTTCATGAGAAAAGCAGGTGCAGTACAGGTTCTGAGTAGGACCCAGATCTCTGCCTACAGAGTAGAACTCAAGCTCAGTGCTGACTCAGTATGACAGAGACACCCCCCTGTGGGCTATAATCAGAAAGGACAGTTGGTCAAAAGTGACATTTGGGTTATCAACAAAATGGGACCTCTGATTCAGATCCTCACTAACCCCGATCTTGAAGAGGCTGTCACCCAAGCCTCCAGCCAACAGTTGGTCTCATTCTGGAAGCCTGTCCTATTGCTGGGAAGTGATACAAGTAAACCCTCGGGGAAACCCTACCATTCAGTCTCAGCAGCAGAAGGTTCAGGCTAAGAACTCCACCCCAGGGACGTGGTGGTGGGGCAGGCCTTCCAAGGCAAAGGAAGGTGGATCTGAGTTCAAGGCCAGCCTGGTCTACAGAGTGGATTCCAGGACAGTCAAGTCTACACAGAAAAGCCCTGTCTTTAAAAGATCAACCAACCAACCAAAAAACTCCAACCTGGTTGCTCCTCCTTAGAGGCAAGCTATGGATGGCTACAATGGAATTACTTGTTTTTAGTTCTGAATCAAAAATCTTATTACAACTCCCAACATATTCTAGGAGGTAGAAGAAAAATGGCTTCCAAAGTCTACGACTTATGGGGTGATCATGGTGGCCACAGCTTTTAATACTAGCACTCGGGGAAACAGAGGCAGATAGATCTAGGACAGCCTGGTCTATATAGTGAGAACAAAATCCAAACACAAAGGCCTACAAATTCATCCCATCTCTACAATTTTAGACAGTCAACTTCTCAGCCTTTATTTTCCTCACCAAAATGAACCTTACCTACAAGGACTGATAAACCCTAAGAAAAGTACAGGAGTGGTCAATTCAGGGAAGCCCTGAGGATCCAGAGAGCAGACTCAACCCATCAAGTCACTAGGGTAGAAAGAACTAGGGACCTTTGTCCTGACTCTGTCCAATGTCCTCAGATGAAGTGCAGACTACCCAGCAAGTCACCAGATGGCCTCAGCAGGACGCAGAGCTCAGGTACATGGGGCAAATGGTGTGATTTGGGCTGAGAGCTGGGACTCTAATAGAGGGTACTTCTTACTTGTAAGTACTTCAATGTCTGGGTCTTCTAGGAAGAATGCTACTCAACTACAGCAGCTGCCACCCACAGACCCCAAGCTGCTGAAACAGATCAGGAAGGCAGAGAAAGCTGAGAGAGAGTTTAGAAAGAAGTTCAAGGTGAGAACATGGAGTGAAGAATGAGTCCTGGGATGACTGGTACCCAAGGCCCTTGATTTCCATCCTGGGGAAGAAACTAAGGTAACAGCAGATACAGAAAGTCTAACATTTTAACATGATGTTCCCCAAGTTTGAAGGTGAGATTGTGATTCAAACAAAGATGATGATTGACCCCAATGCCAAGACCCGGCGTGGGGGTGGCAAGCACCTGGGTATCCGTCGTGGAGAAATCCTGGAGGTGATCGAGTTTACTAACAAGGATGAGATGCTGTGCCGGGACCCCAAGGGCAAGTGTAAGTGTGTTTGGCCCACATCTAGGGAAAGGAGTGAGAGTGCGAAGGCTGAAAATCCATTCTATCTGCTCTCCCCTGCAGATGGCTATGTACCCAGAACTGCACTGTTGCCCTTGTAAGTACTGGTCCTGCCTGGGTAGAATGGGGAACACCAAGGTTGGCTCCTATTGACAATATTGTGTTCTCTGCCAGGGAAACAGAAGTATACGATGATGTCAGCTTTTGGGGTATGTACAGTGACTCCCATGGGGATACTTGCTATCATGCCTCTGTGGCACAGGATCACTTGAATTCTTCCTTCTTTGCAGACCCTCTGGACAACCAACCATTTCCTCAGGGACAGTAAGCAGACAGAGAGGTGGGTTCCAGAACCACCAGCCCAGCCACTGCTCACCCAGGAGCCCTGGATCCTAGCATGGCAAACAGATACCCAACATGCCCACATAAAACCCCTCTTTAAAACATTCTTGTTTCTTGTCCTCTTCTTACTGACTAGAACACACAGCAGAACACAGGCACATGCAAGGGACCAAAGGTGAAACAAACAAATAAAAAAAAAAAATCAATTGCCCACCCAATAGGAAAGGAGCTGCTGAAGACGCACCCATACATATCCTAGATGACCAGTAGCTGTATCCCAAAATTCCTTGTAGGCTTCAGGTACTTGCGTTGCCAAGTGAGTCTATAACAGCCCTTCACTGGTAGAACTCCTGCCTAACTGGACATCAGCATGAAGTATTTCCCAAATAGTGACATTCTTAGTGGTCTTGAACAAAAAGAAAAGCCAAGTTGAAGTGAGCTTCACTCAGTGTCTGGGACTCACAGAATAAAGCCACAGGATGATTTTCAGGATTGTTATTATCACTCCGGGGAAGATCTTGGATAGTGTTCCTACTATAACTAGGGTCTGCTCTCCAAACAGTGGGGTCTACAGACAACAACAACTGGGTGAGATCCCTGGAGGTCACAGCTCCCAGGAAGAAAGTACAAGCTGCCCCGTCTCGCAGAACTCAGATGGCCACCTCTACAACATATACACACACAAAAAAAGCAAGCCGCTTTCAGGAACTGGTATTTATTATCAAAGTCATATTTGATGTCAACAAGATGCCACAACTACAAAAAAAATTGCGCACATTGCAATCTCAATGCAAACAGTCAAATGGAACCCCAATCATTAAAATATTAATTCAGATCACCCCAAAAAGCAACTGAATTTTTTAAACATCTTTATACATCCAGCCAACAAATTAAAATGGTTAACAAGAAAAAATACAAATTCAGAGGTCTGGTATTGATGTTTAAAAAAGGCAACTGCTTAAGCATTTCTATCGATTCGAACATCAATCTCTCGGCCACTCAGCTTCATGCCATTCATCATCCGGCAGGCTCTCTCAGCCACCTCTGGAGATTCAAACTTAACCACACCGCACCCCTTGGACTTTCCGTTCTCCATCTTGATGTCGGCGTACAGCACGTGGCCTGGCACAGGGAGGGAAGAAGAGACCACACGCATCAGGCAAACCCAGAGCTCAGCCTCAGTCTGGGCTCCACTCAGTCCAGATCACCTGTTGGATTTCGGTGACAGAGTCAAAAAGGAGAGAGGCCCTTGCGCATGAAGCGAATGCTCAGAACACCACGTATGGCGCCAGCAACTACAGCCCTTTCCACTTTATTGCCATTGTTCTCCAAGCAGGACAACAGCCTAACCTGCTGTGAAGAACTTGCCAAGCAGCTTCAAATGTTCGTCTTTCTGCTCCAGCAAGTTACACGGAGAGGGGCCTATGTGGAGCCAACTTTTGATTAGAATTCTAGAGGCTTGATTGTTGAATACTACTATCTGGTCACAAGGCCACTGCCAATATGATACTTCTATACTGCTCTATGTAAGCCAGGTACACCTAGTGAGTAGCTTACACATATCTATTCATAGACCTATTAAGTATCCAGGTTATTAAGTAACCAGGTATGTGTCAAGTACAAAAGAAATGGGTCTATAATAGAGCAGAAGTCAAAGACACATTGGTGCTATGTTCTTGTGCTAATAATAATAATGGCTTGGGGAGAGATGACACTCCAGTGGCTACTCATGATAAAGTTCTGAAAAATATTAATGAGCAATTCATCAGAAAACATGCCTGCCAAAGCAGGACACAATGGTACACATCTGCAACCCAGCACTTGAGAGGTTAAAGCAAGATTTTGAGTTCTAGGCCAGACTGGAGCTACATGGCAAGACCCAGGCTCAAAAGGGAATGGCAAGACAGAACTAAAGGAGGGAAGACAGAAAGGAGAAGAGAAAGGTAGCTCACCTGGAATCCCAGCCCTTGGGAAGTGGAGGTAGGAGAATCAAGAGTTCAAAGTCACTGAGAATGTAGCTCAGTGTATACAGTACTTGTTTAGCATGCACAAAACCCTGGGTTTGAGTCCTAGCACTTATACAAACCAGGCACAGAAGCACATCCATGTAATCCCAGCATTCAGGAGTTAGAAGTTCAAGGTTATTTTCGGCTATACAATAGTAAATTTAAGGGCCACTCTGAGTTCAAGAGACCCAATGTTAAAACAACAACAATAACGAAAAGCAAGGTAAAGCAAAACAAAAAAAGACAAACAAACCAATCAAAACCAAAAACCTCAGAGTTCAAGATCATTCTTGGCTACATAATGACTTTGCAGTCAACTTGGGCTAGTTGGATCCTAGTCTCAAAAAGGAAAAAAGGGAAGGACAAAAAAGTAGGGAAAGGCTAAGGTAATCTTCTGGCAAGTTCAAGGGCAGTAGGGAGGTAAGTTTCCAGAAGATTTTGAGTTTGCATTTTCTTAGAGGTGGGGAGAGTGGCACGTTCCAATCTGAATATCTAGTTATAATAATGACTGATGTGAAATTTGCAATGGAGAGAATCAAAGAAGCAGACACGAATGTGGGCTTTGACTCTGCAGCTTACACTGAAGAACCAGGGGAAAGCACTACTTCTGAATGCTGAGCCATTTCTGAATGAGGAAACAAGAAACAGGTGTTCTGATTGAGCTTTTAACTGAGAACATGCAATGGTAAGGGAAGACCGCATCGTGGTCACCAAGGGAGCTTTCCAGAAAGGTTGCCTAGGTGTGCCTATGAATCCAGAGACTTTCAGTCTATACTGTGTGCCCAGACCAGACCTATAACTGCTGAGCATATGTGTACTCTGGGCTTCATGGGGGAAAGCAACTTGTCTTGGATTTACTTCTTTTGTTTTTGCTTCTTATAAGTCTTTGACTTTAGGAAGATGGCTTTTCTGACTCTTATGTAAAAAGATGACAATACTGCCTTCTCTCAGAAACTGAGAAAACAGTGGTGGCATTTGCCTGTAGTTTCAGAACATGGAAGGCCTGAGAGGGAAAAGAATCATGAACTCAAGTCCAGCTTAAGTCGTAGCAGAGACAGAGAGGCTGTCTCACAAACTAACTAGAGAAGAACAGCACGGATGAAATGAACACATGGCGTGACACATACCAGGACACCCAACACCTGCCTAAATAGCTGCAGAGGCAGAACAATGGCAAGGTCATGGACACTCGAGAGCCCATGGACAGTGGCTAAGGCTAGGAAGGAAGCTGCACTGCTACAACTCAACAGCATCACCAACAAGCCACAACACAGAAGTGCACATGGACAGTCTTTCTCAGACAGACACTTACCACATTCGTTGAATTTGTCTTTTAGCATCTTCCATGTAAAATCAAATGGGAGCTGAGGAAAAAAGAGCAGACTAATCTGTGATGCAACCAAGTCTCAGTGTACAGACATCACAATAGATACAAGATTATGATTGGAAAGTTTCCATGGGCTGGGGGTGTAGCTTAGGTACAGGGTGATTTGCCTATTATGTGCATAACCCATGTGCTCCATGCCAGCACTGCCAATGGGGTCAATGCCAGGACCCATCCCCAGTAGTACCCCCAATTCCAAAACAATCTCCACTTCTCATCACAGAAAGGCAGGCTGACTTCTTTATGAAAATCAGCAGAGAAGAAAACAAATCTCTAGCTTATGGGTATATCCTAAGAGCTAAGTGGGCAACCCACAATCCAGTGACAAAATGTAATTCTATCACAACCACCTTTCTCTGAATCACTGTGCCAAGACTAAAGTGTCCCTCAAGCCAAGGGAATCAGAAACTACAAACCTTTAGAGCCCAGTCTACTCTACTGACCCACACATCCTAGGCAAATGCCAGACTACTATAATTTTGTTTGTGTTTTAGAGACAGGTCTCACTTGGCAGCTCTAGTTAACCTGGATCTCACAGAGAGCCACCTAACCTTTATCTCCAGAGTGCAGGAATTAAAAGAATGGGCCATCATGCCGGGCCCTGGGACTATTTCTTCTGTAAACCCTCAACCTCCAGTTCGGTTTTGGGGATGGACAAGTCATATTCCCCACGCTACCCGGTTCTCCCTTCAGCAGACATCCCTCAGCCCACTCATCTCCCCACCACTCACTCACAACAACACTGAGGGGCTCCTGAAGAACCACTTACATTTCTCACAAATATCTGGCAAGCCTTCCTGGCTACTCCAGGTGCATGGCCTCCAGCTCCGCCAAAGGAACCTGCGAAGCTTCCTCCAAAGCTGCCCCGCTCCATCTCAATGGCTCGGTCAAAGCTAGCACCTCCAGCGCCACCCATGGCCAGGCCCATTCGCTCAATGCCAGCGCCCAATGTCGGGCCCATAGCAGGGCCCATTCGCTCCAGGCTGTTGGCGCCCATTCGCTCCAGGCCCATACGCTCCAAACTGTTGGCTCCCATGCGCTCCAGGCCCATGCGCTCCAGGTTGTTGGCGCCCATGCGCTCCAGGCCGGTGGCCATACGATCCATCACAGGGCCCATGCGCTCCAGGCCGGCCCCCATGCCTGTGGGCACCATGCGATCCATGCTCAGGCCCATACGCTCAATGGCTGGGCCCATGCGCTCGACACCAGAGCCCATACGCTCAATGGTCTGGCCCACTCGGTCAATGGGCGCGGCCATTCGCTCCAGGCCAAAGCCCATGCCGGCACCCATGCGCTCCACGCCAGAGCCAATGCGCTCCATGGTCTGGCCCATGCGCTCAATACTGGAGGCCATGTGGTCAAGACCTAGTGGGCCCATGCGCTCAATGCCAGAGCCCATGCGCTCAACTGAGCCCATGCGGTCCATGACCAGGCCCATGCGCTCAATCTCAGAGCCCACTCGATCCATGCCATGGCCTAGGCCTGCGCCCATGCGCTCCATGCCAGCACCGCCAATGCGGTCAATGCCAGGGCCCATCCTCTCGATCCCAGGGACACTGCCTCCAGCTCCACCTGAAACAGGAATAAAAAGTACAA